TTTAAAAATATTTTTCAAACCTTGAACGAACATGTTTACTATTGTTGGAAAAAGTGTTACATTACATAAATATGGTGTTACTTTTGACTTGAAAATTCCAATTTTAATGAAATTTAGGCCAGCATTATGAATCTGGCCAGAATTAAGAAAATTTTGGCCAGAATTATAATTTAAAAATTAATGAATTTTAACTAATTAAACTAATTTAGCCAAATTTAAATATTATATATATATTATATACCTAAAGACTGTATCATATTAAGAATTTTTATTATAATATCATAGTACAAAAAATCTCACCACTAATTTTGCTGAAATAACCAGTGACTGTTATGTTTTTAAAACCATTTTATGATATTTTTAAAATATTGTCAAAACACTTTACTAACATTTAAAATATTAATTATAAAATGTATTATGTACAGTAATTTATTGTTAAAAATATTATAATATACAATAATATATTATAAAAATAAATATTAATCTATCTATATTTCATTGTAATTAATGTTAAGTTCAAACCATACTAACACCACACCTGCCATCAATTCTTTCAATAAAAATTCTCTTTGATTATAATCCACAGATACTTTAACAAGGACCCCAAACAATATATATATAGGTCAGATAAAAAATTCAAAATTTACTAAAGTCAATAAGCAAATATTTTTCATGTCTGCTAAGCAAATTTTTATCTAATCCATAAATTTTTTACACTGCTAAGCAATTTATTTTATGATATATATATATTTATATATAATTTTTTTTATAAAATATGTATATAAAAAAAACTAAAAAAACAAAAATTTTTGAAATAATGTATGGATAAAGCTATTATTATTTTTTTGTAATATTGCAACTTATAAATGTTTCTTATTAATATTTTGTATATCTGTTCTGTGACTTTAGAGCGTAATTTAGGCACTTTAGTCAAAGAAAACATCCAAAACCTTCTTAAGTAAAGTTGTTCAGCAGGTTCGAATCTACTTACATATAAATTTTTATCATGATTGAATAGATATTTATGGATTTATTCATGTTTTTTTAACACTACCAATACGC